CAACCGTAAGGAAGCATTTTTTTAAAAAATACACTTTTTAGACAAGTTTTATGTTTACAGAAAAACTGAGCAAAAATTACTGAGTTCCTTATATATGGTTCCCTGTCCAAATTTCTTAATTACTAACATCTTGATTAATATGATAGTTTTGTTACAACTGATGAACCAATAATGATGCATTATTGTTAACTAAAGTGCAAAGTTTACAAGTTTATTCTGTGTTGTACATTTTGATAAGTTTTGCTGGAAACATGATGTTACGTTTATCGTGATAATGTCATACAGAATAATATCATTTATAAGATTATATTTTAAGGTACATTTTTCATCACTGTTTCTTGAAAACCCCCATCAATATTAAATTATATTAAAAAAACCCATCAATATTAAAAATTATAAAACTGCTTCATGTTTTGAAAAATAAAAGTTGAAAATCTTGTTCATTGTGGTTTTTACCTACTATCCATAAGGAAGTTGTTTTAATAACAGAAACAAGTTGGCTGCAGCAACCTATATATTTCTTTTTACAAGAGGCAAAGTTCCATTATGTTTATTTTCATCATCAAAATTAAAATTTAAGTCTAATTATAAAAATTAAACCACATGTCTTAGATGTCTCTCTCTTCCTCTGAAAGGTTGCTGGTCTACTCTGACTTTTATTTTTAACTTGAAAATGTTTAATTGCTATAAGCTATAAATTATGAATATACTCTAAAGGTATACTCAAGATTCTGTAGCAGCAGATTTCCCCTTTTCCACATCAACTTTTAAGTTTCTTTAAGAGAAAAATCCTTTCCTATAAGTTCATACCTTGGTCCCAGGGCAGACTCGATTGTTGGCAAATTTGAGAAAATATTCCTAGCTACATTGAAGACAGGTGATCAAGACAACAGAAACTCAATATTGCTCAGTAGAAAATAAATGGAATGCACATGATACCCATTGAAAATAGTAAGCATTTTAATTTATGTGACTTGAAAATAAGGCACTGTTTATTCTAGGCACTATCTGGAATAAATACCAGGGTGAAGTCAGGACTAATATTTCACTAAGGAGAACTTCCTTGGTTGACAGTTGACTAATTTTTATCTGAAGTATTGATTCATACTACTTCTTTAACATACAAAAGGAATTATACAATAGAATATATTCTTTAAATCTGAATATGGCCCCGATGTTTGCTTTTTCAATATTAGATTGCATGAGAATTAGCATTTGTTTTTAAAATTCGGAGAAAATTAACAGATATATAAACCAATTCATATTAGTTATAGATCAGAGCCAAAGGTGGAACAACTAATTAATGGGAAGTAACGGGTCTTCAGAGTTTCCCTCAAAGTGTTTCTCTGGTGTCAGACCTCTGAGTCACCCTCTCCTCATTCATAAGATGTCCAGTGACTCTTGGCAGAAAAAAAGCACATTTTCTTCATCTTCTTTTTTTTTTTTTAATCAAATGCCTTCTTTCCCTACCCAAAACACTTTTAACACATAAAGACAAACAAGTAACTTGAGTGCCAGATTAACAGAACAGGCAGCTGGAGTAACCAAAAAGGAATTCTCTTCGGCTGCTCCTCACACCATCACCCACCTTTAGGGGCCCGAGCTACTGCCCTCTTAAGGGTCTTTCCAAGTAGATTGCAATTTAAGAATAACTTTTTAGTACGCTTTATACCATGATACTCTCAGAGGTCTGAGTTTGGCAGTATTCTCTTCACAGGTCTTTATCAGGCCTCTTTGTCACTTCCTTAATTTTATTATTTTTGAAGCTTTGGGTTTCAATACTTGACAGAGTCTTGAGTTTAGTTTGATTCCTTTGCACTTTGGTAGGGGAATGACTAGAAGGGAGACAGCCCTGATGGCTCTCTGGATTTTTTTTTCTCTCCTTCTGTACAACAGAATGAATGATTCCTACTTCAGAAAGTTATTGTTAAATTTCAAGTATATTATCCAATCTGAAGTATCTTGTGCAGTGCCTGGCATTCAATAACTACTAATAACTTAATATAAAGTTACATTATTTGAAGTACCTTTTTGTCTTTTGTTGTTGAATATTGCTATAGGAGTCTGCATACTTCTGTGTTTCCAGTCTGTTTTCTAGTTTTTGAAAAGTTGTGAGATATTAATAGATATTTAACAAGTATTTATACTGGTTTCACTAGTAGGTGTATAGGAAAGAAAAGAACTGAGGCTCACTGTCAGATAATCAAAATGAATTTACATTATGCTTTGAGAGAGCAATTCTAGTCACATGAAAGCATTAATAAATAAGCATTGTCTATTATAATGATTATTACAATAAAATAAACTGTTAATGTTTTTCAGTGGATAAGAAATGCAAAAAAAAATTAACATTTCAGTGCAGCCTCAAATGAGGGAGAGGCTGGCATCTCCTGAAGGACAGTTCAGTACTTTCTCCCCTGGCAATGATGGCCTGGCTTTAGCACTGTGATGTGGAAGAAGGTTCCAGACAGACATGGTGGTGAGGGCACATGTGATCAGTAGTCAGGTAGGGGACAGTTGCTGAATCTATCTGACGGGGAAGTTGATATCTTACCAAATGATGAACGACACCAAGGAGACGCAGTGGTCAGAAATTAGCTCAAAGAGGTTAAGCATCATATTGTGCAATTTAAGCAGAGAGGAGAAAATCACAACAGAGGTCTCATCTAACAGTGGGTGCACCGTGACTTGGAGCTTGGAGAAGACCACCCAGGTGACAGTTACAACAATCCAGGTGTGGACTGATGAGGATTAATGCTGGAGGGTAAACATTAACAAGAGACTGCAGAAGAGTGAATAATTTTTGTGATACAGCTTCAGTACCATGCATTTCTTTTGTAATATAAAAAGGTATCTACTTCTATGCTCAAAGATGATAAATCATTTTGATTTCTCAGCAAGGTTCTTTGTTTTATTGTCTTTAATAAAAGATAAAGAGTAAATAGTATTGGTCTCTAGAAAATATTCTCATTTGTAAATTTTAAATTGTGTGGCATGACATGGGGTAATTAGCTGTCTTTTGGGATACCTCTACTTGAAAGACAAACATTTTAGTTTAACATAATTGAGTTTAAGATACAACTTTTATTTGCATTTTGAAGTGAGAAAAATATGAAGGATGATCTATGTAGCATTATGTGGAAAATAGCATATTCAATGCTTAAAGTAGTTTATTACTTCTCAAGGATTTTATGGTTACTAAGGGAAATAAGCATGTGTGTTACTCAGTTGTGGTCTTGTGCGTAGCTTGGTAAATTTATATTAACGAAAGCCAAAGAACTGTGTCCTGTTTGTGTGTAGGGTGTTGGTGGGATCCATAAATACTTAGATAATGGAGAAATGTGAAAGGTGTCTGATTATATCTGTAATGTGTACCTATTGATTGCTTTTCAAAGCATAAACTATGTAATTATAATCAGAATATAATATCAGGATTTTTTTTTGGGAAATGAAAAATTGCTTTTTATTTAATCTCTTTTCTTGATATTCCCATACAATTTTCTTAAAAGGATTACGAAGGAAATAATCTTTCTTACAGAATGTTTTAATTTTTATTGTTATTTTTCTTAAATATTTCTAGTTTGTATGTTCATAAATATATGATCTAACTTTTGTTACCTGTTGAACACAAGCTGATGTATACTGCATTTAAGGAAGCATTAATTTTGGTCTGGGAATGTATGTTGGTAGAATGTTTGCCTAGTATATGGATGGCTCCGGGTTCAGTTCTTAGCACCACACCAAAAAAAGCATATTTTTTTTCAATTTTAAGTCATTGCATGTGACTGAAATGATTAATACACTGAAACCTTTTTGAATCTTTCTATTCTTAAGGCATTTTAAAAATATTTTTATTTCAAAATTTATAAATTTGTTGTCACTTAATAGAACTCAGCACTATGAGGAAAGGAATAGGAATTTCAAATTATACTTTTTTCTTTCTTTCTTTCTTTCTTTTTTTTTTTTTTTTTGGTACCAAGGATCAAACTCAGGACCTTGTGCTTTTGAGCCAGGCACGGTGCCACTGAGCTAAATCCCACCCCAAATTGTTAATATTTTAATTACCATCAGGTCTTGTAATTGTAAACCATAGTATGCATTCCACATTAATAAAGATGAAACATAGTACTGTTGTTCCTTCCTTTAAGCCTTTATTTAAAATTATGTATTAAAACAATGTGCCAGGAAATGTGCAGGGTCTACAAGATAAATAAGGAAATGTGCCCAAAGCCTTTGTCCCAGTGAGTATCAGGCAGGGCTATGAAGTTGGTGGTGGAGCTCAGCTTGCTCCAGGGAATTCTACCTTCAGTGACTGGAGCTGGGAATGCAGGGTGATAAGAACTTGTCAGGGAGAGTCTCAGTGAAAAGTGTTAGGGTGAAAAGCAGGAGCTGTACCCGAGAGCCCTGCACCCCAGGACTGTGAAGTCAGTGGAAGGCTTTGAAGTAAGGAGAAGCTAGGGAACAACTCAGAAGTGCAGTGTAGTACAGGCTTCCCTTGGTATCTGTAAGAGATTGTATCCATGAACCCAGCAGTTACCCAAATCTAGAGATCCTCAGATCTCTGCCATGAAAATGGTATGATATTTGCGTATAACCTGCACACATTCTCTTGCATACTTGAGTCATCTATGGATTTCTTATCCCACCTTACACAATGTAAATGCTCTGTGAGTTGTGTTGTCTTGTTTAGGGAATAAAGACAAGAAAACAAGTCAGTACAGATTCAGAACATCAGTATAGATGTAATGTTTTTTATTCTTTTAGAATATTTTCAATCTGAAGTTGGTTGAGGTTGGTTGAACTCTCAGATTCAGAACCTGCAGATCTAGAAGTCTGGCCATATTCTTAGTGTGAAAACACCGTTAATAATATAAGAATAAAACTTCCGTGTTTCATACTGCTGCATTTTATCGTCTCACCTAAACCCAACGGAGGATTAGTTACTAGTTATCTTTGCCTTTGTGGTATAATTAGACTTATATATTTGTTTTCTTTCACAGTGAACTTTAGCAACTGCAATGGAAAGAGAAAAGTACAGTATGAAAGCAGTGAGCCAGCAGACTTCAAGGTGGATGAGGACGGCATGGTATATGCCGTGAGAAGCTTTCCACTCTCTTCTGAGCATGCAAAGTTCCTGATCTTTGCCCAGGACAAGGAGACTCAGGAAAAATGGCAAGTGGCAGTGAAGCTGAGCCTTAAACCAACCTTAACTGAGGAGTCAGCAAAGGTATTGTATCTGAATACAGCTTTGGAGCTGATGTTTAAAAGTCCGATTTCTAACTGTCTGAATAAGTAAATAGATAACACCGCTTCCTGCTTCGTATCACACGAGTGGGTGGCGAGTATTTGAATTTTTATCAACTTCAGTCCCTTTAACTATTTTGTCGTGTTTTTAATCTTGTAAGATAGTTAGACTCTATATTTTAAGCCACAAGAAATTGTATTTGAAAGGTTTGTTTAAACTTTGATGTTTATAATCTAATTTAAATTAGCAGTAGTTTGTTTTGAATTTCTCAGAAGCTTTTTAAGCTATTGAATATAACCACAAAATAAACAGTTCTTTACAGGATGCCATGAATCAGATTTATTAGCTGAGGAGTACAGATTTACAAGAGCATCCTGGCACTGAGTGTTGGGTTTGATCTTGGTTCTTAATAATCAAATTGGGGGAGCATGAATTATTTATATGCTGATACGACTTTCAGGAATGATATACTCCCTCTGGTGGAAGCTGCTGTGAGCTAAGATAAAATAAATGAGGTACATTTTCAAGAAAATTGTTCAATTCAACAAATGTTTATTGAGCACTTACTTGGTGTAAGTCATTACATTAGGAATTTCAAACAAGGCACAATGACTTAGGAAAGTTGTGTTAATATTATTTGAAAATTCTGGTTCTTGTAGTTAATTCAAAACAGATATGAGGAGACACACCATTATTTTATGAACTGTATTTTGCGTATTTGTTGTTCTGTGATGGATAGGGACACATACATGCCTTTCTGGTATTTAATTGTAGGTGTGATATACATGCATGTAATCAAATAAGAATGAATATATCAGAGGAAAATATATCATTCTGTCTTATACTTGTGTTGAGGTTTCATTATGTGAAGTGTAGTCTATTAACTGTTCTTTAATCTATTAACTGTTAAAGAGAATCATGTCACTTGAGTAATATAAAGTGAGAACTGGTAACTAATGAGGTGAAAAGATGCTTTTGTTGTTGTTGGCTCTCTGTTCTGGAAGACTAGCTTGGATATTTGCACGGAAGCAGCAAAGGCTAATGGTTGAAATGCCTACAGATACTGGGAGAAATGGAAGAAAATGTTGACATCTAGCAGAGATTAATACCTAGTGTGCAAAGCGGGTCATTTACCACATCCATCATGGCTGACATAGGTTTAGAATAATTACAGCATTAATTCTGTGGGATTTAATAGGGTCATAAATATTTGAGACATTCCTTAGCGGTATGTATTAAACTTCTCTTGGAATTCAAATTATATTTTAGCACATCAAGATCTAAATTTAATGTGCAGTAGCACATTACCTGAACTGTAGTTTAAACTAATGAGAAATATATAAAAAGGTACTATTAAATTTTGCTTAAACATTAACTACTCTCTAAGACGGTTTATAGAAGTGGCAAATAGTTTACACAACTGAGCTCTATAAGAAACTGTTCAGAATTCAGTTTTTCAATGAACAGAACAACACCAAAATTATATGGTATTTTCTATTCTTTTAAGAGGAGGATAGGAAAAGGGCCCCCAGAGTTACTTTTTGTTCATATCAACTGGATCCTATGCTTTCAGATAGCCATTAATATTGATATTCTTTCAGAAAATGTTTTCCCTAGTTTTCAGGAATGTCTTGCACTTTTTTAATCCAAAGGAATCACATGAAATTGCAGAAATAGTGTTCCCAAGACAATCCACCAAGCACAGCAGCTCCCTGCAGAGGCAGAAGAGAGACTGGGTCATCCCTCCAATCAACTTGCCAGAAAACTCCAGAGGACCTTTTCCTCAGGAGCTCGTCAGGGTAGGGCGACACAGTTTTGCTTATCCCCATGGCATGCGGCAAGGATGTGTTAGAAATGTTTCTGGCTCTTTTTAAGTCTGTGACATAAATGAGAAAATGTTTTGTGTATGTGAAATTCTCTGCAGTGTTATTGCAAACCTCTTCCCGTTTGTGTATTTTCTCCTGGCTTATTTATAAGTAGGACCCTTTCTAGGTTCCGGACACCATGCATGGGAAGCTCACTCAGTACGTAACTCACACCTGACACTGGCATGCATTTCTGCTTGCTCCATACTCACTCTGACAGCACAGACCTGGAGCGGCCTGGTCTGGAAGCTGAGCTCTCCATGATGCGTTCTGCCCTCCACAGATACCTTTTGGACCAAAGGAAAAAAATAAAGAGCAATCATTGCTAAAAATGCCAGCACCAAGTGCATTTGAGAGTTTTTTAAAGAAAAAAAAATGACCTCTGATACCATTAACAGACTCCCTGGGGCACTGCAACACCAGAGGCTTTCACAGCTGAAGAATAACATTTTTTCCAGTTACTGCAGATTCATGCTGTCAGATACAGAAATTTTTTTTTAAAAAGTTATATTTGCATGCTTAGTAAAATTAGCAACCTATTTTTATCACAAAAAGACAATAAGACAAAATCATTGTATGCCCAGGTAGTAGAAAGTAAACGTTCCTGTGGAGACACCGTGATGTCTCGTATTCAGTGCTAGTGTGCGTTATAATTCAGTTTTACAATGAGTATCACCTCCAATATAAAGCTGCTTTCTGTTTCTGCCTTAACTGAGTATGAGAAAATGAGGAATTTAACTTTTAAAAACACAACCAGATTTTATTAAAGGAGTAAGTTTATTTACTGAATACATAAAGGTCTTTTCATTGTGTACAAACGGCATTGCTCAGTCTGCCCCTTCACTGTGCCTGTCTTCCTTCTTTTCTTTTTTAGCCTGTTTGGCCTCAGTAACTGCTCATACACTGATTTAATTTTCCTGGGAGTAGTTGTATTTGGAAGAGAAGGCAGTGAGCTATTAATGGGCATGGCATTTGAATATAAAAATATATTTTAACACCTGTCTTCACATGCTTTGTCATTAGTTAAAAAAAATCCTGGTATTGGATGACAACCTTAAAATGCTATAGACAGCTTTGGTTGCAGTGAATACTGTTAGTGCAATGCAAGGAAAGAAATTTGATGTCCAGGCTTAACCATTATATTAGAGTTCCACGTGAGGCTGACACTATGATGGACAATTATTTCTTATTGTAACTGATGCAGAAAAGGCAAACAATTTTTATTTTAATTAAATTGGACACCTGTTACTGTGTTAAATGGTCTAACCTCAAAACTGTCTCTAAAAACTGGCACTTTTAAATTTTGGGTTTTTTGCTCTACTCCTAGCGAGCGTTCTTTCGGATGTGAATGAACGTTGCCCCAGTCTCTGCCAATAGGTGATACCGCTTTTTGAAGCCCATCACTAAGGGGCCCAGAGGAGGACTAGGTCCTGGGAGAGTTTCTGTGACATCCTGGGAACAGCTAGAGCAGGGCTGCATCCGAACAAGGGCTGGAGTGTGGTGTGCGCTGTCTCTGATGCTGAGCTCTTTTAGTCTCTCATTTAAGGTGATTGTTTTCTTCATCCTCAGATCAGGTCTGATAGGGATAAAAACCTCTCGCTTCGGTACAGCGTCACTGGGCCAGGAGCTGACCAGCCTCCGACCGGCATCTTCATTATCAACCCCATCTCGGGTCAGCTGTCAGTGACCAAGCCCCTGGATCGCGAGCTGATAGCCCGGTTTCATGTAAGATTTCAACCAGCTGATACATCTCTGTGTTCTTACCCCTCTAAATGCATGCAGAATTTACCCTTTCCTCTTATCTGTCACACAGCCTTGACACTGTGAGTCTTAACAGCAGAAATCTTTGTACCTTTTTGATTTAATAGTTTGAATGGTTTTTGTAGAATTGATAAATGCTCTTGGTAAAAAGCAAATAATGCCAAAAAAAGAACAAAATAGAAAAGGAAATAGCCTGAAATCTCATTATTTTTCACATGTTGATACTTGCTTTCTGATATGTAGCTAAGAAAAGCTATAAGAACAAATTTATGTGAATGAGTTCAAAACTGTTGTATGAAAAATACAGAGAGATCACAACATTGTTAACAGCTGTATAGTGTTATAATGAAAGTGAGTCCCCATTCCTATCTTACGTTAAATAGGCAAGCTTGGTTAAAATAGTACATAACAGAACAGTCTCGAATTAGTTTTGTCTCTAATTTAAGAATATAAATAATATCAACACACAAGAATCCAGTCTCTGTGTGAATTTTCACTGTTGGGACTACTGTGGTTAAAACTTAGGAAATATATTCAGAGAGTTCGGGAGTAAATTACTGTTCTTCAAATGCTTGCCATTTGCATAAAAAGACAATATCCATAGCAAAATAGAATTAATTACAGAATTACAAGTATTAAGCTTAACTACTAAGATTCAACATTTTTTAGAGTTAAAGCACAGCATTGGTCTATAATAGTTTAAAGAAGCCAAGGAAAAACATATATGACTATAGATTTGGGAAAGGAGTAATAAAATTTATCTTATTTCATGAGCTCATAAAAAAAGGGAGATACTGATGCTTCTTTAACTTGATAGAAGGTATACACATAACCCACAGCCAGTATCACACATAACAGGAAAACCATAAAAGCATTTCAATTAAAAAGAAACAATTTAATGGAACACTACATAGCCATTGAAAAGCATGAAATGAATCTTTGTGTGCTAGATGAACAGATTTTGAAGATACTCTGCCAAGAGTAGCTGAGTGATTATATTTGTTTAAAAGGAAAAATAATATAAAATTTCTCCAAAAATACCAGTAAAACTGCAAGCTAGGGCAGTAGAGAGGAACAATTGTCTTATATACTCAGGTAGTTCTAATGTTTATGAGTGGCTTCACAACTTAAAAAGAAAACCTAATGTGAAAATTCCCTGTGTACAGTTAATTTTCCAGATTCTGTCCTGTTGCCTTGAGCTTTAGGACTACGCCATGGTAGTGCCATGTTATTAGTTACCCTGACTCTACCATATACACTTGTTTAACAAAAGGATTGGGGAGCTGGATAGAACTGGCTTTGAATCTAGGTTCTGGCAACAGACAGAGCAGTGCGATCTCATTCCCATATATGGATTAAATTTAAAACCCACTGAGATCTGAGCATAATGCCTCATATACAGGATAGTAAAGGTGGTGTGTTCCTACTGTATCTACTCTAATTATATGAAGCTGACGGATTTTTTAGGGAAGAACAGCTCTTGTTTTTTGGCTCTTTGTCCATTCTTGCTATTTGAGTAGTGCTGTGATTGCATATCGGTATCTTCTCACAGGCAGACCTGCTAAGTACCTTTGTTTTCTAATTACTTTTGCAGTTGAGGGCACATGCAGTAGATATTAATGGCAATCAGGTGGAGAACCCAATTGACATTGTCATCAATGTTATTGACATGAATGATAATAGACCTGAGTTCTTACACCAGGTCTGGAATGGGACTGTTCCTGAGGGATCGAAGCCTGGTAAGTTTGCAGATAATAACTGGGAAATGACTTCAGGATATTTTGCATAACTGGCACTATCATATAAGCAAGAAAAGGAGAAATAGTGTGAGCCTTTAGTATCATTTTCTTTTCTCATAACGGGAAGGTAATTTAGGGAACACAGATTGAAGGGTGAAACAAAAATATGCCCCTTCCTGCCCACATGGTGATCTTTCCCATCATTAAAAATAGTACAGACTACAGCAGTGGATTCTACCGTACATAAATCTGCAGGAGCAGCTCATGGTGCTGACACAGCCAGGGCAGCTTAAAAGTGAGCACCAGATGACGAGAGCCTTTCTGTCCACAAAGCATAGATCCATCATAGGAGACATTGCAGCAACAGAGACGCAGCTGGACACAGCTTTAGAGATACTTGGTGTTTTGGTGTTCCTGAGACACAGCAGTGGGGTTAAGAAAAGAGTGTAATAGCGGGATGACAGTGATCAAAGTGTGTTATGCATGTATGAAAATGCCACCGTGAGGTATATATATATATATATATATATATATATATATATATATATATACACAAAAACCACAGCAGGGTAGGGGCTTAGTAAGAGCTGTGACTGCTGTCCTCTACCTGCTGCTGTTTCCTCTCCTGTTGGCCCTAATGTCCTCTGCACCCTCCTTTCAGTCAGTGTAACGGAACGTGGCCTAGCACTGGCCAAAGCGGTTATGAAATCATATTGACCAAGGTTAGGTTCTTATACAGAAAGCCCTGCAGATTTTAGTCACCATCAAATAGCTATGATGCAGAAGCCTGTTTAGTGTGAAATGCTAGTGGACAAGGCAGTCGTCTGGATAGAGGTGGTAAAAGTTTGGCCAGCCTTTCTGAGAGAAGGTTTGCTGTTTCAAGAGATTTACTTTGCTATTTATTTTGCAACTTATAAAGCCTTAACATTTAAAACTGAGCTACATAATACCTTGGTCATCTCTATTACTTCATGCAGCTCTCTTACGCACAAGTGATATTTTCCATATAAGTCACTGTGCCCTATACATACTCTTGCTTGGTCCAGGTGTGCTTCTCTGTATCCTCAGAAAAGAGAGGTTGGGGGAGCACCTGGAAGGAGGACAGGGCTGTACAGAAGGCTCGCTTACCTGTGGCTCCTCCTGAGTCACATTTTCAGAGTAGCTTTCTTCTTTGTTTCAAAATACAGCATAATTGAAGTGTGTTAAACATATTCTTACCAAAACACATCTTATCCAGATATTCCAAAAATAGATCAACCTTGGGCTTTTTTTTTTTTCTGCAGAGGTTTTGTTTCTAAAAATCATTTGGTATTTTTCCCTCTATTACTTCAAACTTTATAAAATATGATGCTTCACAAACATTGATAAAAATAAACCATTCAGGCTATATTTATTATGCATTTGACCATGGATTTCCATTTAAGTTTCCCTTAAATAAAAGGCTATTGGTAATCACTGCAAGTAAAGACATTTCATAATTGTGTTTCTTGTGGTTTTTCTGTATGTTTTGAAAACATCCTTCTACATAAGGTTTCTTAATGTGATATCTTTTGAGTTAAGTTGTATTATCAGTATTTTGGCTCAAGGTTCAGAAATGTACTTTTTAGTCTAACCATTAATTCATTCATCATAAGCTTATAAGCAAGCGCTGTCTGCAAGCCCTGATCTAGCCATAGGCATTCATCATTAATAAGCACATTCCTGCCCTGCAGGAGTTTCAATTCTAGCTGGGAAGAGAAAGCAAGAAAGTATAAAAAGAACAAGAAAATATAAAATAAAAAAATAAGAGTTTTTGAAACCAATAAAGGTGTAGAGGTGGTATACCCCAAAAGCGTTTCTTGTTTAGAGGGACAAGCGCCGAAAGGAAATTTCATCAGTGTAACCAAGCCATGGTTAATTATTCTTCTTTTTAGTTTGTTTATTGTTAGTATATGTAATACATAATATTGTAATATATAATTTATTTTGGAGAAATTGTATAAATGTGTATAGTGTCTTAAATAGGTTAACTCTGGTGTGAAAGTGTACCATGTAGGCACAAAAGAGCATAGGTAGAATTTTCTTCATTATAATACCTAAGAAGGTAGGCTACAGATAGAAAATTTATGATTCAGTCCTTGTAAAAAAGGCCATAAAACAAACCATTCTAAATAGTAACTGCTTTTCTCAGTGACTTCTATACCACACTTTGTCTAGCTAATTTGGACTTCCTTGCCTCTCAATGCTTTATAGATTTATTTTCCAAAATGTCCAATAAGTTGAAGTCCTTACGCTGGTTACAGTATTCTTTCAAACTCCAAGGAAAAAAATGAAACACAATACCAAATCCCTATTCAGTGTACCAAAACAGTAATGCATGAGATAGCTCCTTATGACCTGAGTGATGGAGTATGCCTTGCTAGCACACAGCTTACTTTCAGAAAGTGACTCAGGCATTGGAAAGAATCACACTCAGCATGCCATTCTAAATGTCGTTGTTTAACAGATGAAAATAAGACCAACCAAGGGAAGGAATCGGCAGCCATGCAGTATGTTTCTAATGGCATCTTTATTTGCATTTTATATAAATTAGAGCCTGCAGTGAACCTCTTTGGAATCATAGAGTGAATTTTTCTTCTAAGTTATGGAAAAATTGACACTTTATAAATATGTATATCTTATAACTTTCCTTTCAACTCTCTGCACTGTGTTTTATATTCTTTAAAATAGTGTTTTTAATCATCTAAATGATATGAAACATTGGTGTTGAAAAAGCAAAACTAGGACATATCGAATGGGAAGTACACCTTCTTTCTAGGGGCCCCAACGTGCAGGTTAATGGATTGTTTTCCATGTCCACTGTCTCTAGGAACGTATGTGATGACCGTAACTGCTATTGATGCTGATGACCCGAATGCCCTAAATGGAATGTTGAGGTACAGAATCCTGTCCCAGGCTCCGAGCACCCCTTCACCCAACATGTTTACAATCAACAATGAGACTGGAGACATCATCACAGTGGCAGCTGGACTTGATCGAGAAGTAAGGCAACCAAAAACTGTATTTGACTTTATTTTTATCTTATCTTATTTTTTATCTTTTTATCTTTATCTTTTATCACATATACTTTAACTCCAGGAAAAAAAATATATTCACACTGTTGTTGTTATGCTAATTCTCATTAATAAATCTTTTGTGTGATTTTTCTTTACCGAATTTCATATTGGTTATCTGATATATGTATCCTGGATACATCATTGCTAGCCTACGTAATATTTAATGTGATAATTGACTAAGTTAAATCAATATCCTCTAGTATCTAATTTTTAATATTCATAGCAGTTTTTCAGTTTTCCTTTATAGTCACAGATTTTCATTGGGAGGTATATTAAACATCATGGTCAAATAATGTTTGCATAAATGTAATTTTTGAGTCTTTTTTTTTTTTTTTGGTACTGGGGATCAAACAAGGGATCTTGTGCTTGCGAGGCAGGCCGCAGAACCACTGAGCTAAATCCCCGGGCCTTGAGTCTTGTATTTTTAAGAGGCTACAAATGAAATGTATGTGATTCTTGTTTTCTGTAGTCCCTGTGGGTAGCCTCATTTAGTACAAAGAGATTATCTCCTCTATTAGAACTTACCCCTTAACTCTGTATTTAATGGATTTGAACACTAGTAAATACATTCATTCTACTGACAAGCATTTAAAACTGTAAATGTAGAGAAGCACATTTCTGGCATGATATTTTGTTGAAAAGGCAAACAGTAGTGAAGACATTGAAATATTGCTCAGTATCCATCTGATTGAGAGAGGGGGTATTTTAGTAAATTTCCAGGTGGGTCTTCTCAGTGTGACAGGCTTCCACCTAGTGTGTTTCTGTGTATCTCTGTGTTTTTGACCATGAGATTCCCTTCTGCCTGGAATTCCTTGCTCCTTTCTCATGATTTTGAGTTTTCAGGTTGTTTAGGTTCTGATTCAAGTTCTGTTTATATCATTTCCTGAACAGTCCAGCCCTAATAAAACACTTACATCCTTTCTCAGTTCTGTCCAGACCATTTTCTTACAGATCCTCAAGGTCATTATTTCAGCCATTCATAATAATCATTTGAATGAATTATAAAAATGCCAACTCATAGGATTTGTGCTTTGTAGATTTCTGGCTGAGCCAGCTTTTACTGTAATGAGAACTCAGATTATGTAGGAAACATTACACCCATCACAATAAATATTACTGACAAGGATTCTAGAAGTTACTGTAGGGGTTTTTGATGTTTTATTTGCTATAGTAGGATTCACTTGAATTGGATCAAAGAAAACATTACCATTGCAATTAATTATACACACAAGATAGTGCTAGATGCACTATAATAAAGTAATATGAGCCAATCAAGATCACTTTATTTAAAATTGAGCTGAGAGATTTACTTAGGAGTTAGATGTGTGCCTATGACATTGTACCTATTAACTTCCAGCTGTCAGTGATTCTTTTTCTAGGAAGGTTTTGCATCAGAGATTGTTGAAACGAGTTTTTGCAGTACTACTTTCAGCTCAGTGATATTCCAAACATGTGTGTCTTTTCACTTCTTCCATTACTATATGAAATACTCTTCTTATATGCCAATAAACTCAGCATGCATGCCATATTTTTTATGAGATTATGGGGTATTTTTCAATATTCTTTCTTGAGTGCCAGGTCACTCACAAAGTAAGTAAATTTAGATCAGTTCACAATCCTACTATTTCTCTGTTGATTCACACTGTCATTGTGAGATTAAAAAAATGGGCTTCATTTCTGTTTTCATCCGGTAATAGTCCTATCACATTTAGCCTGGCTGTCTTATGCAAGAAGGAGGCAGGACAAAGGAAAGACAGTTTTCCTAAAGCAGTCCAACCATGTTTAAAAATCAGAGACTATATTTAGGGTAGAGAGTGCAAGTGTGGCTGTAATCATGGTTAAGTATATCTGCCAATGGTGGGAGAAACCTTTCTCTGCCCCTTGGTGACAATGTAGAAATGAGTTTGAAACTCTCATAGAATCGTGAGTTAGATACAAGATGAGAAATCGCTTCTTGACAGTAAAATTATTAAACACAACAATGAGTTACTAGAAAAAATTATGGAAAACCTTCCTTCTCTGAAAGTCATTTAGCATAGAAAAAATATCTATCTTGGATGGTTTATGGTAATTCTGCCCAAGGAAGGGGATAAATTACTTTGACTTTTTCAGGCCTTGTGAAGACTTGAAATTCTTTTATTTCTATTAGAATTCATACTTTCCTTTTTGTGGAAAGTAATTTCAGTTGTTGTTCTCTCAGGATATATGACACCTTTGTGTGATGGAACTCCTATTCATTAAAATGCTTACTGAAATTCAACTTTTTATTTTTCTTTAATCTGCAAGTTTAAAAAGTAATTATTTCTTAAGTTCTCCAAAAGCTGTAACCACCACCTTCTGCAGTCTTATCCTTTTTTTTGACAAACTGCCCAATATTCTTGCACCAAGTTTGCATTTTACGTTTGCTTCTTATGGGCTGTTTGACCTTCACTGACCTATAACTTCAGCCCCTGCATTTATAAATGGAGACAAAAATATTACTTATAAACCAGATGTGATAGTCCACTCCTGTAATCCCAACCCTTGAGAGGCTGAGGCAGGAGGATCACAGAGAGTTTGAAACCAGTCTGGGCTACATCATGAGTTCAAGGCCAGCCTGAACTACAGAGCAAGACCCTGTCTCAAAAAAAAAAAAAAATACTACTTCTATCATGAGATGGTTGAAAGATTTATGTAACATGTTTGAGGGTAGGTTCAGCATAGTACCCAATCGATGTTAGTGCCCATTTTCCTCATTGCCCTCATAAATGGCAGCAGCGTCTACTAAATGAGCTCCACCAACCACGTTTGCTCCTCAACATAATGTTTCTCGCATCAAAGAAGGAATGATGATCCCTTCTTCTGAAGCCTAGTCGTCCATTTCTTTGTGCCCTCAATTCTGTTCTATCTTAAAGGCACGTTTTCCCGCTTTCTGTTGTATCTGCAGCCTTCTCTCCTCTACAGGCTCCTTCGTGATCTACTCAGGCCATGTCTTCCCAGGGGTACAGTGGCTCCCTGCCCCGTGGGACCAAGTCAGAGGGCTTTAATGTGGCATCCGAGACCTTCTAAGGCGTTGGCGCAATATGTTCTCTCACCACCCACCCCCAAATGTCTTGCTTCTCACTTTCAAACACTTGATACCCAGCCGTACGTTCAGCTGTATGCAATTTCTGGTACAATAATGGAGTTTGTGTTCCTTTTGTCCTGTCTCTGGGCCTAAATCCACCTCACCCATCACTGCATCCCACGCTAATCCTCACTTAATGAAAGCCGGTCCTCGGCCCCGCTCGGGCATCCGCAGTGTCTCTGCCTGCTTCTCTGTGTGCAGAGGCTGTGTCACATGGAAGGCCCACTAGGACTCCTGTGCTCAGCATCCAGGGAGGCAGCTGCTCGTCAGGAGCCCCGAAGGAGTGTTCAGTCATTAGGCATCCCCTCAGCTCACCAGCAGACTTCTGGAAAGGGCAGCCCTCCTCAGGGCTCAGCTCCCACTCCTTCCTCATCCGCCCGAAGCCTGGCCTTCTGCCTGCTGCCCCCACTCAAGATGTGCACATGCTTCACACATTCTTTCTTTTCTCTTCTTTTCCTTCAGTAAGGGCAAATGAAACCATTCACCAAAAGCTACATCCCCAGCCTCAAATTTATATATTTTTTTAAATTTGGAGATAACTTCTCACTAACATGCCCAGGTGGAATTTGAATTTGCAATCCTCCTACCTCAGCCTCCCAAGTGTTGGGATTACAGATGTGCACAACTGTGCGTGCCTGGATTTTACTTAGTTTTGGTTTTTTGTGTGTGTTGAGATGGGGTCTTGCTATGTTGGCCAGGTTTGTCTTGAACTCATGAGGGCCAGTCATCTTCCTGCCTTAGTCCCCCAAATAACTAGGACTATAGGCCCACCCCAAACCTCTCAGCCTGAACATATGTTCTGACTGTCTTGGAGAGCACATACTTCATGGAGCAGTTGATGGGACAGACTCGTGACTCAGAAATACCCAGGTTTAAGTCTCGTCTCTTTCACTGATGGCTGGCTCTCCATGGAAGGAATCCTTACCGTGCAAAGCCTCAGTTTGTCTGTCTGTAAATGTAGATAAAATTTTACCTAATAGGATTATTGTGAGGAATAAATGAAGTAATGTATAGTGCTTAGCACTTTGCCAGATACTTGTACTCCATCTCAGTAAAAGTCACTGTGGTTTCTTATCAAGGCCCTTAGAATACTGTTCTACATGCAGGGAAAAAAATTTTCCCTATTCACAGATGAGGGAGCTGGGGGTTACCATTAATAATTTGAACTGTGAGTCACAAACCTGTTCTTCCCTCCTCAGTTTTGTTGACATTATCATTTACCTGTCCAAAACCTGACCCCATTTGTGCATCCCAAAGCAAGTCTGTTAATTCTCCCTGTGTCTGTGATTTAGGATTAGTTTCCTATTTCAGGGGACCAGTACCCTCTCCCTAGCCTCCCAAGGTCATGTTCTGATTCCCTTTACCATGCATAATTTATCCAGAAACCCTGATCTCTTTGGTCCTCAAGTTCTCAGATTCCTCCTAAATACCTCATGTATTTATTCCTCTACAATCTGAGGAATAGCCAGGACACCTCATATTAAATGATCTTTGTGTTACTTCTTCCTACTCTTAGTGCACTTGCATAGTACATCGGATCCTGTGGTCCGTTTCTATCCAGTTCCATCCCATAATGAAACCAAGGCCGTATCTGGTTTTGTTAACCATTTTATCCAACTAAATAACACTCTTCCTGGCATCTAGCAGAGATTCAGTGAATAATTTCAAGTGAATAACTGAACGTTTTCACCTGTTTACTCAGTGACGTTACTCTACTTCAGTGTTTTAAAAGGATGCTGCAGGTGTAGTCAGACAATGAATTTAGTTGGTGCATACAGAGAAGACTAGAAACAAGAGACTCCAGGCCGCTTAGATACTATTCAATCAGAGACCACCAGAATCCAAGAATCATATTCTTCAGAGTTTTATTTATGGCAAGTGATACTAGTTTTCCATTCATGGTAGTTTTATAATAAATTTATATAAGCTTTAAAAGAGGGAGATAAATAGGAAATGACTCATGGTATAGAAATGTGAAGAGATGGCAGAATTGGGAAGATTACATATGAATCACTGCGGTTTGAGAAATAGTTGTTTTATGCTCTCAGTATAAGTTTTAATAAATAAATTATAGCCTACCATGTAAATAAGAAGACGGCTTTTTCTTAACCTAAAATGATTTATGTAAAGTAATGCAAGGCTGGAGGTTTCTCCTTCATTCAATCATCTAGCCACATGGGTCAGGCTGTATACCAGTGACACAAACATGGACACGCAAGAGCCCTGCAGAAAAGCAGGCTCCAGGCAAGAACAGACATATATGATGTGGTTTTTTTAAAAAGGCTAAGGTGAATGTTTAATTTTTTAAAGATTATTACAGTAAAAGACACATTGCCATGAATACCTCTCACTTTAAACACACTTATCCCAATGATCTTGCCACTTCCGGAAGCAGCTCTCCAAGTCCTCTTTCATGAATGTCTTGAGTTGCATTTTTGAAGTTGCCTCAGTGTCCTAAACTGATTCAAACTGTTTACCTTCCGTGGGCATCCTCACATTGAGGAAGAGCCGGAAGTTGCACAGTGCCAGATCTGGAAGGAAGGAGGAGGAGGAAACACTCTTACAGAAATTGCCCTAACATTTTTGAGATGTGTCACAGGGGCAGTCTTGAGGATCCAAACAGCTTTGCCTCAAAGACTTTAAGAGGTCATCACAAAGGTGACTTTTACCTTGTGTTTGTCATGCTCGGAATGGGGGAAGAATATTCAGATAGTCCAAGGCACTACTAACCTTTTGAAATGGATAATACTTTGGGCTTGACAAGTCCTGCAGGTGTTCAGCAGAATCCCTGGCCTCCACGCATTAGATATCAGTAACACTTCCAGTGAGACAACAAAAAATGTCCTCTGGCAAGGTACAGTCACCTTGGTCCAGAACCGCAAGTCTGGGCTGGGAGAATTGCCAAATGCAAGGGTGTAGGGTCCTGGGGAGACCTGATGAGAAAGACAAAAGCCCCAGGTGTGGGCTGAATGAATGGGAGCTGATAGCTTTGGTAAAGCGCGTGAGTCACAGGGAGAGGAGTGATAACAGCGGATGAGTTGAGGTTTTATCTCCTCTAAAACAGGAAATTAAGCATTTTCTAGCAGAATCCCTGGATCCAGTATGAGATTGTGAGGGTGGGAAGTCAAAATCGGAGGGAATCTAAATGTTAGTCATTCACAACCAGATGCTGAATGATTAAAAAAGGCAAGAAGCTCTATGGTTTGATTCCCTGAAACACAGGTTGTCAAGTCTTCCTTACTAAATAAAAGAGCATTTTACCAATCAGGCATCTAAAAGTAGAGACTGTACTATTTACCAAGTAGATTTTGTTTTATTTGAGTAGATATTGTCTTTTTAAAATAACAATGTTCTTTTAAGATTTAAAGATTTCAACGTAAATTTGAAGCAATGAGAAACTTAAAGACTTAGCTACTGATCCCAATATTTCAGCTCAATTGCAAAATTGTGTGTATCATGCTTGTATATTTTAAAGATCTTCATAGAATGCACATCAGAAAATTGCTGTATCTCTATACAATATCCATTTTGAGGATTTTTTTAAATCTTCAAAAACAGTTTTTTTAGAAAAAGTAGTCACCTATTTCAAAAACCAGCAGCTAACAAAATGGCATTTCTAAAGTCATAACAAATTTTTATTTTCATAGTTTTCAGCAGGGAAACTGAATGAAAGGCCCTACTCAATTCTGAGTAACCATGAGAGCATTAAACTGAAGTGACACTCCTGGCTGAGAAAGGAAACCATTGAGAAACATTGTAGCCTGCCTAAGCATCATGGTCAAGTGTTATGGCTTAGAAAAATTAAAATGGTTCAACCAGCACTAGTCCTTTGTGGGTTTTTTAATTAAAAAAAAAAGAGTGCTATTTTCTCTTTTAGAAAGACAATAAATAACCACTAGAGATTGACATTGGGGTGGACAGACTTAAAATCTTAACGCTTGAGGTTTGGCTTTTCCTCCTACTCCTTTCTTTCCCTTGCCCTCCCCTCTGACAACTAAATCAAAAGCTCCAATTTGTGCCTCTTCCATCTAAGCTCTAGAAATCTCTTAGGAATGGCCATTCACACTGTTAACTATATTTAGAATTAAGAAAATCACACTCTGCAGTGACAGTTGACATTTTGTTGTTTTTGTTTTCCTATGAAGTAACAACTTTATTTGTTCGTAATTTTTTAACATCGTAAAAATCATCTTTTTTAAAAAAAAAAACAAAAGCTGTGCTAATTTTCACATGTTCCAAATGACTTTACTTACTGGTTTTGGTTAGATTTTCTTGTTATAAACCTTTCTGAGGTAGTACTGTAGATTTCTCAAACAATCTGGAGATTTTTCTCTTAGTTTAATTTGGCTCCCTTTTAAAACAGTCTATAATTTGAAAGTACGTAATGGATGTCTGTCTGACAAAAATCCTCTACAGATAAATGTATCCATATATATATCCACTCCAGGCCTGTGCTGAAAACAGAGGACATAATGAGTGTTATGTCCAAATGTCAGTCCATCGAATATACAGTTATTAAATACCCACTACTTCCAGGACTAGCAGCATAAACATAAATACTTTAATTAGGTTTTGGTTACAGTTCTGAGTAGTAGGTTATGTAATAATGGGAATTAGGAGGAACAGATCTGTCAACTTTATTACAATAGAAAGACTATAAGAATATATAAAAGGAAATATATACTGTATGAGCAATATATGCTTTCTTTACTCTGTTGGTCTTCTTCATTGCCTTTAGTAGCCTAAGCTGGGTAGAAATTAGCATAGGACTAAGTAAATAGGAATCAAAAGACTTGAATGCGGATCCCTGTCTTGTGAAGAAGAGGAAGAGGTTAAAACTGGGTGGGGGATTCCACGCACCTGTGAATTTCACACTTCTCCCGGGAGTTGCCTCCTGAGCACAGAGGTGAATATACACAATTAAATCTCTAGACAAAGACCAGACCCGTGCTTCGTGAGTTAAAGTAAACTCCACTTGGGAAATTTCAAGTAATGTTAATCAGAATAAATGATGTCGTACTCTCTGCTTGTAATAAAGAGCCCTTTACAGAACAAAAGTTATGTCTTCTGAGGAATTAGTTTCGTTTAAGTTGTTATCGTTCTGTCTTCTTAGAAAGTGCAACAGTATACGTTAATAATTCAAGCTACCGACATGGAAGGCAATCCCACGTACGGCCTCTCCAACACAGCCACGGCTGTCATCACGGTGACAGATGTCAATGACAATCCTCCCGAGTTTACTGCCATGACGGTAAGGACGGCCTGTCACTCACAGAGCTTCAGGCCTGTGGCCCATTACAGAGAAGTTTTGTTGTGAATAATAAATGTGTTAAATAGAAGTGGGACCTGCTTAGCCTGATAGTAGAATGGTTACGGACTCAGACATTTCCCTCCCCAGGGCTTTAACTCAGGCATCCAAGTAGTTCGCTTCCTCATCACATTGGAGTCCATTGTTAAAGATGTCTAAATATGCTGCCTGGAACTGATACCCTAAAAAGATATTGTGCTCTTATTACAAAATCCTTATAGATATTAGCAATTGCACAGACTTCAGGATCCATTTATGCTACTTTGTCAGTATATATTTATCTATATCTCAAATGGAAGTATTTCCTACAGACCAGTCCTTTCTTCTGACCTCAGTTTAATCACCCACACACTCACAAATGAGTGCTAATTTCAGTATTTACCAAGCTGCAACATAATAAAGAGACAGCCAAAAAGGGTTATAGTATTTTAAAAATCAAACATAAATACTGCGATTACCTGCATTACCAATCTCCTCATTGAGTGTAGATAGTAAAAATTTAATGCGCAGTAAAATTAGGGTGGCGTGGTCATGAAGAAAACTTGTCCTTCAGTCGTCCCCGTCTGACTGAGGTTTGTCTTTCTTGTAGTTCTACGGTGAAGTCCCTGAGAATAGGGTGGATGTCATAGTGGCGAATCTAACGGTGACAGATAAGGATCAGCCCCATACACCAGCCTGGAACGCCGTGTACAGAATCAGCGGTGGAGACCCTACAGGAAGGTTTGCCATTCAGACTGATCCCAACAGCAACGACGGGTTAGTCACGGTGGTAAAAGTAAGTGCTCCTAACAGTCAATCAGCAGTGACCAAAATATGCTTCCCCACTCTATTATTTTGCTTTGAAATCTTGGCACTATTTTTCCCCAAACATCTCTAAATCTAGAATTCTTACCTATTTGGCAGGTTACATGTTCATACTTAATTTATGTTGAAGTTGAGGTCAATGTAGGCATTCATTATCGCAGGAATATAATAATTGTAAAATCAGCTTGGAAAGATTTACCAGCGTAAAGATAGGACTGGCCTCAGCAATGTTCACTGTCAGTGTAGCTGATATCTTAGTGATTTACAACATCATAAAGTTTGATCATTATTGATACCTATTAAGAAGGATATACCACACTGACTATCCTCATGTCTACAGCAATTACCATATAGGCAGGTAGTGTTTAAGCCAAAAGAAAATTACTGAAGTATAATGGAATGAGTAGGAAGAAGAGGGCCTAGATTTGTAAAAGGTTTTGCATTAAGACTGCTGTTTTTAATGCTCTTTTCAAGACTTTATGAAACTGGTTCTTCTGACTTAATTGTGAAAAAAAAAACAAAACAATTCAGTGCTGGATGCAAAATGAACATTCTTCAAGTAGGGTAAATCCATAGCTATAACATAAAAGCTGTTCAAGTGAGCACCCCTTCCTTTTAACCACGCAGTGAAGAGATTACTTACTCTGTATCCCACTAAGACAGTCTTGATTTGCAAGTGAACCCAAGTGTTGGCCTTATAGAAGAATGTGCCCGAAATTGCCAGTTGTCAGGAAATACATGCCATGCATGCATGACTAGAGTGGGTTGGAAACTTCCTGAATAATACAGAATGGTGACCAAGAACAGCAGCTCCAGACCCCAGCTGTCTGTGTTTGAATACAGGTCTGCCCTTGACACTTGTGTGACTGTCTTAGTTTCCTATTGCTGGGACAAAACACCCAACACCCACAACTTTAAGGATGAGGGGTGTAGTATGGCACATGGTTTCAGAGGGTTTTGATAGGTGTGACCCCCCCCCCCATTTGTCCCCAGACATCTGAGTTTCCAGAGCAACTGCCTAAACTCCAAGAACAATCAGTCTGTTTCTACATTCTGTAGCCACCCCACCTACTCTGCCAGGACCTGACACCCTCCCCAGTGCACCCGTAACATTAGCTATTGCTGTGGCCATGTTCTCAGCTCTTCTCACTTCCCCGGGCTCATGGTACCCTTTGTCTCAGCCCAACTGAGCCTATCCCACTAACCCCCTTAACCCTCTCCATAAAAGACCTGGCTCAGTAAACTTGACTAAACTCTCCTTTGGAGTTACAGTACACCAGAAGTCCCACCCGGAACCCCCAGTTCAGGCTGGCTGTGTTCTTTTACTGGGTCATCACTGTTTACCTAACAAGTTTAGTCCACAATCCACTGGCTCCAGGCAGAAATGGCCTTGTGGAAGGGCGTGGCAGAGGAAAGCTGCTCAACACGTGACAGGCAGGAGTCAGAGAGAAAAGAGAGGGACCAGGGACAAGAACACACCCTTCTGGTTCAGGCCTCAGAGTGATGCCACTCACAAGAGTACATTGCACTCTGAACTCACCAAGGCTCATAGCACCGCCATCATACGGTCACCTTCCAAAACCCTTACCTCTGAACAGGTGAGCCTTTTGGGGACATTTTAGACCCAAACTGTAACAGTGACCAGATCCAACTGTTTCACCTCTGTTAACCTCCATTTTCTAATGCAGAAAAGGGAGGCAAATAACAGTTCCCAAGTTGCAGCACTTTCGTGAGGAAAAGTGAGTCCCATACTCCTTAAAGGACTTACAACTTTGTAGGTTCAGAGCATTTGATCTGGCTCACAAAATCACTTAAATATTACAGCCTTACTTTCTGTACGACTTGTTTCCTGTCTTGTTTAAAATACTTGAGGAAAGAAAGTTGAGTAGGCGAGTTGAGAGTGAGAGAAGAAAGCTGTGTACGTACAGATTCTGAGGAGGTGGTCTACTTTTGGAAGCTGGTGTCCTTTGTGGTAATAATGTGAGTCTCTCATGAGCTGTAGCTCTTGATAATTTTGAAGTTACCAGTGATGATAAGACAGCTCTCTATGCCCTTTCTTTCCCCGTTATTACCATACAATATACTTATTTCCATCTCCTCTACAAGAAGAGGTAATCAAGGGAATTAAGGATGAAAATCCAGTCTGGTACTTGACTCCTGGAACATTCTAGTGACAGCAGGATTCAGTGGAACTTGGGACCACGTCAGAATTCAGATGAATTGGGTTAATCTAGAGTGTTATTCCTAAATTTGAAAATTTTACAAACAGTAACAGAATTATTTTGTAAAACACCCAGAGTTTGAGTTTGCTAAGAGGGAAGAAAAAAAATCTTTTCACCTAAAGCCTCCAACCCTATGATTTTAAAAAGCAGTATGTATGTATATGCTTATACTTTAAAATGTATACTTCCAATTATGAAAGATACTTCTACATTAAATAAGTTTAGCTCTATAAAAAATCATGTTTGGTAGTTATTATCTTTTTTTCCATTCATCACAGACTAATAAAAGCTTTCCTGGATCAGCTTTGTATCAATGTTTCAGACTGTAGACCTCATGTTTTTACCTGAACTCATACTATTTAGTATTTGGGGTCAACAATGCTGTTTTTAAAAACCAGTCAAGGTTTTTTTTAATTTAAAAATAACTTTATTATCAAACACACACACACATACAGAAATTAAAACCATTCAAAGAAGAACAATGCAAGGGAAAAAAACTACAATAATATTCAAATATAATAGAACTCAACCAAAACAAAACTGAAAGGCACTTAAACATTTTTCCATATAACTTTAAAAAACATGTCAAGTGCCAACAAGATACCAGAGGATGTGATTTGTTTCAGAAAGATCCCCAAAACTAACATTGAACAAATAGTGGTCTGGAAAAAAACTCCAGTTAGCGAGCATACTACACATAAGCCAAACTTCTGCGTAATTTAAATTTCAATACAGTCATATGACACGTGATGGAAACACAATCCGAGAAATATGTTATTAGGCAATTTCAAGTTTTTACATATACCTAAATAAATGGATCTGTGTAACAGTCATATGCATTATTTAATGAACATAAATCTTTGAAGTACACAAGACTTATAAATAGTTTAAATCGGGATGAGTATTTTAATCATTGACATTGCTGATGTATGTTTTCCAGAAATTTGAGAAGAATTCTATGATGTGGTGAAGAAAAACAATATTTTAGAAATGAAGTTGACAATCTGCAGAATACAAGTATTCTTACTTTCTTTTTTCCCCCCTCAGCCCATCGACTTTGAAACAAATAGGATGTTTGTCCTCACTGTAGCTGCAGAAAATCAAGTGCCATTAGCCAAGGGAATTCAGCACCCGCCTCAGTCAACCGCAACTGTGTCTGTTACAGTTATTGATGTGAATGAAAACCCTTATTTTGCCCCCAATCCTAAAATTATTCGCCAGGAAGAAGGCCTTCATGCAGGTACCATGTTGACAGCCTTCACTGCTCAGGACCCGGATCGATATATGCAGCAAAATATTAGGTAGGAAATGCCATTTATGGTATTTTTGCCATTCAAAATGTGTTCTATGCTGTACATAAAATTTATTTAATCTACTGTTTGAAGAAATTTCTTTAGAAACCAAACTCAAAAGTTTATTAGTTATTTCTTAATTTTATTCTGATATCTTTTGGATCTCGCAGAAAAATAATCTACCACTTGAGAGAGGAAAAGAAAAAAATTTTTAAGAAAAAAAAACTTCTTCAAACTATTTCTCAGTAGTCAGAGAAAAGTCTTACAAAGATGTGAACATTTTCCAAGATAATTTTAAGTCCTTTGAATTTTCCTTTCAGGAAATTAATGAGTATATTAGATAAAAGATATCAAGATGCACTGACTTACATATTATTTGAAGAAAGCAGATTCTCTACCTTTGTTTCTGTCCCCTTGCCTTTCTAAAAATGGCTATTTAGCCTATGCTTTTGTATCAAACACTTCAAAAACTTCTACAGTGATTAAATAGGGAATTTTCAGAGGCTTATAATATTTATATTTATCTCTCCTCTGCACGTCAGGAAGAAAACTCATGCCAAAACTAAGATCTAAGAGCTAATTATTTTCATCTCCTACCTGTACAGTGAACTTATAACATGTATCTGTGAAGAGATTCAACCTCAGAAAAACCTAATTTATCCTTCCTGATGAGGGAGTAGGTAACTGACAGAGTGTACCCCAAACGGCTATTATGCATAGCTGGTGATGAGCATTTTTAAAACTAGCTTATAATTTATTTAACTTCTTTCAGAATTGCTGCTAACAGACAACTGCACTTATTCTCCATTTTACCATACATTGAAACTAAGACAGTTAAATAGCTAATTAACTGAAACCCTATAGCTTTGACCTCTAAAACATAGCAATTTTCTCCAGTTTATACACTGGCTGTCCAGGCTTGAAAAGTTAAGCTCCACCCCTAATGAAAATGGAGTTTAAGCTAATAGATCTGCTGATACAGACTCAAGCCTGTGGGACTTCTTGGGAAGGATGCAAATCTGGGTCTGGACCCCATGTCAGAGAAGCTTGTAGGGATGGGATTATGGGCACCTCTCCAGTGAGACTTCATTTCCTCCATGAGAAGATGACAAAATATTTTTGAAGTTCAGTGGACCCTTGAGTTACAACTGGCCTGACATACGAACAACTTGAGTTATGACCAAAATTTTAGTTTTAGCTTATGAACAAAGTCTTCACTTATGACCTGTATGCTTCCAGATGGTCTCAGATACAGATTTAACCCTTAAAGAGCTCTGGAAGGAACATTACAACATCCTTTTCTGTGTGAGGTTAACTGAGAAATCCTGGGCAAACTCTCTAAGGACACTGAGATCTATCTGAAATAAAGTGTGGCTTAAAATTATACAGGAGAGAGACTTTGAAGGCAGATGACCATCTTGAGTTACAGCCAGCCCTCAGGAACGAATTGAGTTCAAAAGTCAAGGGTCCACTGTGGTCTGTGATGTAAAATTCAACTTCTATTACAATTTCTCCTAAGTTTTGTACATTAGGGTTACTGCTTATTGAGAAGGTATATTTGAGCACTTTTATTGGCACCTTTGCCCTCTGTTGAAGTAGACAAGAGTCTAAAGTGAAATCTCCAATCCGCTGCTGTCCTCCTTGTCCTCCCCTCAGACAACACAAGGTGCTTCCTGAATGCCTGACCCAACACAACCAATATGTGCCTCCCAAAAATCACTTCCACAAAAATACTTTTCGGTGTTAAAGCTGTATTTCCAGCCACCTTCTACAAAAATGTGCGCTAATGAACAATGGACTGCATTTTTATAATTAAACCTGTAAAATATACTTTATTTCTAAAGTCTCATATAAAAAATTAAACTTAACCTTCCTTTCATTTTGTAGATATACAAAATTATCTGATCCTGCCAATTGGCTAAAAATAGATCCTGTGAATGGGCAAATCACTACAATTGCTGTTTTGGACAGAGAATCACCAAATGTGAAAAACAATGTATATAATGCTACTTTCCTTGCTTCTGACAATGGTATGTAATTGAATGTGTCTGTCCTATTATATTGTATATGGTTACAGTGAGCAGAGCCTCTCCTATGTACACAGGAAGTGAAGTTTTCTACAATGCTGAATTGTCTAGAAAACTGACCTTTATTACCTAAGGCCCTATCTGTCTTCCTTCCCTCCCCTCCCTTCCCCTCCTTCCCTTCTCTTCCTTTTTTTCTTCTTATTTATTTTCAAGGCCCTAAGTTTTATTCTCCATTTCCTATGGGCTTTCTATGACTTACTCCCTTGCTGTCTGCAGTGAATTTTCTCCATGTCCATACACCTTCCATGATAGCCTGGCATTTGGGTTGTGAATTTTAGTTGTTTTCCTGACCTGCCATGTGTTGATTCCTGATTTACAACAGATCTAATTGATCCTTGGAGTCCCCATACTCTGTATTTTTTGACATAGTCATTTTATATTTTTCTTTTCGTTAGCTAACTTGCTGCTATCAGTATGTGTGTGTCTCCTCCAGTAGTTTTCCTCTTTCTAACTCTCTGCTGCTGTCTGCTATGGGCTAGGAAATCAGTTTTGTACATAAATTGAAATAAGTTAGTTTGGGACAATCAGGGTGTTGGTTTTGGAACATATTCTTTAACATCTTTTTTTTCTTCTTTCTGGATCTCTGCTGAGTTCAAATTGATATAGATAAACAGATAAACATTTTTTAAAAGGTATCTGAAATAAAAGGTACCTATGCAAAGTTAATGATAGACTTATTTGCTTTACTAGCTCTCAGTATGACATGTGTTTAATAGTGTGAGCTCTAGGGTTCTACCTGACTGCCTGGGCCCATGCCCCTTCTCTACCACTTTCTAATGATAAGATTCACTATGGGATTTTAAATCTCCATTGTTGTTATTGCTGTTAAGTGAGGACAGTGGTATCAGTAGCTAACTCATAGTGTTTTGAGAAAGATGTAAGTGCTTCTACACATAAAGCTTTTAAAAAAGAACCTGGCCCAACCTAACCACTCACATAAATATTTCTATTATGTGTGAATAGTTTCAAAACCAAATCACAACCATATTTTTAAATGTCTTTATTGTGACTCCATGAATGTGCAGTTTTGATCAAAATAGTCTTCAAATTATAGTTCATAAAACATTGCCTATTTAATACTTTTGATAAGAACAGTTTTGATGGATGTCCCTAAATCCTGCATAAGATTCAGTGAGATTACTAGGTGAAGTAAATCTACATGGCAACAGAACCCAAAGCAGTATTTCTTACGGTTTCTAATATGGGCACTACTGTTCTCATGTTCAGCTGGACTTCTGTAAGAAAAGTTTGTGCCACTGCACGTCAAAGTGTCACATTAGTGTCTGCTTTATGCTTCTGTGTATCCAGACACTTCCCTCTGGTGCAACTGCAAGTGATCGACCTTGATCCATTATCTTGAGATTTAAAGAGTCATGAAATTATGTATATACATGTTGGCCGTGAGTTACAGCCGGACCATCCATTCGCCAGGGTGGATTGTTGTCTAATTGAAAGGGTGTTTGATAGGAGAGAGACGTGCGCTCTTAACTCTGTGAAGCTGGAATACTTTACAAATGCAACGCACCTCACTTAAAATCACAAGGCTGGATTTGGAGCCCCAGTTCTGCTCTTGAAGAATTATACAAGTTCCTATGGGGGGAGGTTGAGTCCATATCTTCACACTAAACTATGCCCCCAACCCTTTCTTATTTCTTATTTTAGGCCAGGGTCTCCCTAAGATGCTAGGTAGCCTGGGATGGACTAGAACTTGCAATCCTTCTGCCTTAGCCTTCCAAGTGCTTGGATTACAGGCTTGTGCTACCATGCCCAGCTTCTACAAGCTCTTATACTGTCTGTGCCTTAGTTTGATCATTGATAAATTGTTTTCTCTTTGCCTGTTCTATAAAGCTGTTATAAAAGGAATTTTTTTTTGGTACTGGGGATCGAACTCAAGACCTTGCGCTTGCCAGGAAGGCAGAGGCACCACTGAGCTAAATCCCAGACCCCTAAAAGGAATTTTATCTTAAATGTGATAATAAATTCAACAATTCCTTAAAACATCAAGAGTCATAATGGTTGTGGTAAAATTACAACAGACACTTTATCTTCTACCTTTAATTCTTTGCTCTTAAGAGTCATCATGTGCCTCTCAGAGGGCAGCAGGGATTTTTACTTGTGCCCTCTGCAGAATGTGCATGTGTGCACCTTCCTAGGTTCGTGACCTTGGATGGGTCACTTAAATCTCTGGGCTTCAGTATCCAGGTTTATTTATATTTATAATATACAGGTATGAATATTTATAGCAGAAACCAAATCACCAGCTACATTATGGCATAATGTGATAGAATCAACATTTTGCAGTGGAATGTCTGCCCGTGGTTCTGCGTTACTTATCTGCAGAAGGTTGCAATAGGTCATACTGTGTTGGAGGTTTCAAAGCACTCCTCTGTTCTTTCAAGTGCACACCTTAGTTTTCCATCAAAAGGATCTGATGCATAAGATCCTGAGCTTGTGTCCTGCTTCTGCGACATTCCCCACAGTGCTTGGAAGAGTGTGCTGTGCCTGAGCCCTGATAGCGGACAGCGAGGGCAAGGAAGACTTGGGTTCCCATGGCGCCATAGTGTCACCATGCTCAGCTCCTACACAGTAGCACTGACAGCTCACAGTCATCCTAGCAGGGAAGCAGGAAGTGGGCTTGATCCAGAATCACTGTGTTCAGATACTGTGGCAACTGGCTTTTTCCAGGACACCACACAAAGGCTAGAAGCTTTGAGAATTTCACTATAATTGAGGCTCATCTGAGAGAATTGTTCAGCATCAGTTGTGATTTCTCTCCCTTTTTAGGAATTCCTCCTATGAGTGGAACTGGAACGCTGCAGATCTATTTACTTGATATTAATGACAACGCCCCTCAAGTGTTACCTCAAGAGGCAGAGACTTGTGAAACACCAGACCCCAATTCAATTAACATCACAGCACTTGATTATGACATTGATCCAAACGCTGGACCATTTGCTTTTGATCTTCCTTTATCTCCAGTAACAATTAAGAGAAATTGGACCATCACTCGGCTTAACGGTAAGAATTGGTTAATTATTAGAATATATGTGCATTTGAGAGGTTTTGAAGGCTGATATGAAGTTCATTTTTATGTGCTTCATAATCTCGTTAAATATATTTTAGAAGCTATTTAATTTTTAAGGTATCAAAAGACCTTAAATCTTCACAAAAAAGCATAGTTATGGTTCACTTTATGTATGCAATGAGATAGTAAATAAATCTTGGAAAATGCTGTGTTTTCATATCACATTACGTATTAACTGTCAAACTGTATTTCTTCCCTATTTTGTAAAGGTGATTTTGCTCAGCTTCATTTAAAGATAAAATTTCTTGAAGCTGGTATCTATGAAGTTCCCATCATCATCACAGATTCGGGTAACCCTCCCAAGTCCAATATTTCCGTCCTCCGAGTGAAGGTTTGCCAGTGTGACTCCAACGGGGACTGCACAGATGTGGACAGGATCGTGGGCGCAGGGCTTGGCACGGGCGCAATCATAGCTATCCTACTCTGCATCATCATTCTGCTCCGTGAGTACTTTGTCTGTTCTGTTCTAATCCCTTTTGCTTTTAGGATGCTCAGCCAAGTAAGTTATTGCTGTTCTCTTAGAAAATAATCTAACAACCCTCTTTGACTCCTTAGCATCGTCTTGTCCATCATATATAGGTCATGCGGGTCCACTTGAGATTGAAAACATCTCTGAGCACTGTTTCGGGCACTTACAGGTTTGCAACAAGCCTCCCCCCAGTCCTTCTTCCGTGCCCTCTTACCGTTTTCTGATGCTGATTGCTTGGGAAGCTTTAGAAAATGTTTTTCATAGAAAAATGTTAAACGGTCCTAAGTTTGAGCACTGCTCTTATGATTTGAGTATGAATTTATGACACGTAGTTGATGATTGAGGAAAATGACTGTATTGCTTTTCTTCATATAAAGTGTAGTCAGCAACCTGCTCCAGTCATGCGAGGATCAAGGTATTTGTTTTTGAAGGGCTGCACAAAATAGTGAGAGGTTGTACTTCCTCACACAGCACATTTGATAATGGAAATGATTACACAGCTCAATAAATTGTCTGTCTTTAATGTAAGTGTAGATTAAAGAATTGCTCCTTTTTTAGATACTTTGCAATCTTTGGTTCAGTGGAATGCAAGAAATTAACCACTGGAAAATACTTTAGGAACCACTTCTAGGCATGCAGGTTAAAAGAATGAATTGTCTGGGCCCTGTGTTTTATTATGGAATAGCAGCAGGACTTAGTTTATTGTGTGATCATGCTATGCACCAATCACTGTCTTGAAAATGTTGGCCATTTCTTTTATGTTTTCTCCATTTACAAGTGTTCTGGTAATTTAGAATTCTGTCCCTTTATTCTAAGCAATTACTATAGAAGCCTGAGCATTTTTTACTTCCTGTGTGGAGACTACTTTGGCTATAATTTGAAACCTGCATGCTTTACTAATAATCCACTTGCTAGATTTAGTCCTGGAACAATGGCAAATGAGATCATGTATCTGGCTTTTAAAGGAGGATATTTACTTTTATGGCCAATAATAAAAAATGTGCTCAAATAGGAGTCATTAAATCTTTTGTTTCAGGATGTAAACGGATACTCTTAGATTTTAGATAGAATTCATTCCTAGATGTGCACTTAGGGATATCTTTCAGTTTCACCTGAAATGTAACATGTTTGCTAACCTTATCAAGAAAGACTTAGGCATGATGGATTGAGGCATGAAGAAGTGACAAGGGCATTTTGAAGGAAAATGAATTGGTGCTGATTTTAACATCAGCTCTGGAAAATTTATGGCTTCAGACCTGGCACAAAGTGTAAAACATGAAAACCTAACATTATTTCAGTACTCAGACTAATCCCCTGGCCTTCTTAGCTAAAGCATGCACTGGGCAAGGAAATGCAGAACAGTACAGCAGAAAAACAGCCTCTGGGAATCCAAAAAAGAAACTCAAGATCCAATTCCTGAGCCAGTTTTAATTTCAAAAACAAGTCATCTAGATAAACACTTGTTTCCTCAGAGAAGTGGCATCCTCTGAATTTGGGAGTGTGATGATGACTGACCAGTCTAAATAAAACAGTGTCACAATATAACTTACTGCTCTATTGTGTCTTTGGAATTTATGAACCGTTCTATTAAGGGCACCTGTTTCCTAGCAAGCTAAAATACAGATAGAGAACGTTAATGTTCTCACCTGTAGATACTGAAGCTGAGGATAGGGGCCATTCACCTAGTAAGTGCACAGGATGCCTGGGCTGGATCCCAGGTCTTCATACTCTAAACTTGGGGTCCTGCTCCCTGCTTTGTCTTGTCTCTCTTAGTGTGTGGCCAGAAATAGATAAGAATGAAAAATACATGTCCTGAGTTCGATCCCTGGTACCAGAAAAAAAAAAAAAGAATGAGAAATCCATTGCAAGGCCATTTAAGAATAAATTACTAGTGTCAGAGACAATGATTAGATAGACCAGGCTGTCATAATAATGATGTTTATTATATTATATTTTTACTATGTTCCAACCTAGTCCTTGTCCTGATGTTTGTGGTATGGATGAAACGCCGGGATAAAGAACGCCAGGCCAAACAACTTTTAATCGATCCCGAAGATGATGTAAGAGATAATATTTTAAAATATGACGAAGAAGGTGGAGGAGAAGAAGACCAGGTGAGCAATATTTTAACCTTTAGAAGGGAATTTTCCAATCATATAAATTAAGTGGTGGTGAAAGGGTCAATGTAAGAAAATGGTGTCAGGATTTGCTTTTTTGTTTTACATCATCAGTCATTTGATGAATTCTTCTCTATGTGTGCCACTCATTTGTTGAGGTTTCTGAAAGTACCAAATGTCACTGTATGCATTGTATGTATGAGATGATCATTAGCATTTCTTCAAGGAACCTAGAATTTGAACTCAATTCCGGTTATATTTGTACTAAAAAAATACTTTTTCCAGTTTCTTTTCTTTGGATATTCAAAGTACAACTAAAAGTAGTTTCCACACTGGGATCTTGAGATTTATGTGTATGGTAGAAAAAGCATTGAACCTATTCATTCCATGAACATTTATCAAGTAATTTCAATATTCTAGGCACAATTGTAATCCCTGAGAATACCGAGGTGGGTGGAGCCAACAAATATTTGCCCTCAGGATTTTTACACGCACATAGAAATACTTGAAGTTAGAGACAACAGCTAATTCATGGTTGTGTCCATCGTATCTATTATGATGCCTGGTGCACAGTATTAGTTCAATAGATGTCAACATTCCCTTCTTGCTCTTAAGTTGTGTGAGTTTCCACATCACCATGTACATGTGGAACTTCAAACCATTTCAAAGATGAGTTGCATAATACATGGAGAGCAAAGATCTTTGCTCAGAAGCAATGTTTTATATAGTCTAAGAGCTGATAGTTGTAAGGTCTGCATTGCAGGCCAGGCATTCTGCCCAACACATTAAATGCTGTGCTCTCTTAAGTCTTGGAAATTGGTGGTATTACTGGGAACATCTCCACTTTGTTGCTAAAAAACTGAGCCAAAACGAAATCGTGCATCTAGGAAGTAATAGATGGAGGACTTAAGTTCAGGTGAGTCTTATGTCATAGCCTAAACTTACTACTGTAATATGTTTCTTTTGAAATTTTCTGGAATCTAGTAATGTAATTCATGAGAAACTGCTATGACAAGTATTTCTTAGATACAGTTGTTAGGTCATTTCTGTTTACGGAAAATGTCAGGAACAGTCTGCAAAGAACACAGAAATCTTTGGGTTTTGCATCACTATTGGGAAATGAAAATGTATACTGTCTTAGGTACATGTATGTGTACACATCGATCATAGAGCTGTTACCTTGAATAAAAACAAATTTTCATGAACATAGTTTCTCTTTGGGGAAATGATGCGTCACTTTTTGTTTTACAGAGCACATTCACATCCATTCTTGTGTTTAATCTTTCGAGCAGTCATTTAGAAGAAATGCATGTTTAAAATATGTTGAAAACTTGACTCAAGTGTTTAAAACTGTTTTGAATACTGACTAATTAAAGTGGCTCTATAAATATACCCCAGGGTTTCTTGCTTATAAATGTCTTTGGATTTTAAAATTCATGTTTGGCTTGATTCTTAATTAATCTATCCTTTCACTTTCATAGGCTGTATTCAAGATCATCAAATGTGTATTGATCACATTTTCTCATAAAGCTCCTTCTTGCATTATTTTATTTTTCATATCATTGTTTATTATTTTGAAGGCATAACCCTAAAACCAGCTTCAGTATAAATAGTCTTAACTGGAAGGCCACTGATAATAACCAGATATTAAACAGAACTGGAGCCCCAGAAGCAAGAACCAAGATTCTTCTCAGCAGCTTAGAGTGTGGACAGGGCACCTGAGGTCACTTCATCTGAACTTCCTCCCCCCCGCCCACACACACACTAATCCCTTCAAAAGATTGTTTAGTAAGCTTCCCTTGTATTATTTTAGGAAAGATTTGTTTCTTTACTGACTTCAACCCCTTAAGATGGATGCATGAGATCAAATAGTAAAAGGTAGCTATTGGTAGGGAAGAGAATGCAAAACAGTGTGGCAGGAAAACTGGCCTCAGGGAATCAAAAACACGTAAGATCAAATTCCTGATCCAGTTCTAATTTCCTGCCCAAGTCATCTAGGCAGGCACTTGTCCCCTTGGAGAAGTGCCCTCTCCTTAAATTTGGGAGTATAATGATGCCTAACCAACCTGAACAAAACCTAAATAAAACACTTAATTTAACTGCTGTTTGGTGTCTTTGTAATTTATGAAGCATTTTAAGAAAAAAAAATTTAAATACCATCAAAAACCTTCAACTTCTTCCTTTCCTGACCTCTGAATCTTCTAGGCCTCTACATTAACTCTCAAGCAAGAATGTGTTGCTTCTTAATCATTTCTCCGGTACCCTAGGATTTTTCTAGAACTTTCTGTGGCTAACTTCTTGATTTAATACTAGTTTTCCGTGGTGCCTTTCTAGCTTTTTGGTTCTTTGTTGGCATTTTAGTCTAAATCAATAGACTCCACATGTCTCTGATTCTAAGTTGTGATTTCCCCGTGCAGTTCTCATTGTGGGCAGTTGTTAGAAAAATGTAAAATGCATTTGTATTCATTTAATTTTTACCTCAGAATAAAATATGTGATATAGGAATATTTTGCTGAGGGTTCTGTTCCCTTACATCTAAAATAGATTGTAAAATATTCCCTTATCCAGGACAAATCACTCAGACTTTGACACTTTAGTGGCCGTGAGTGGACAAGCTGAGGGTGTCTGCATCAACCCTCAGCTCTTTCCCAGAGGCCTCCACTTAGTTGTCAAGAGGTTCACCACAGGGCCAGAGAGCTGACATGCTAAGGAAGAGGCCTGGATTTGAGCCACGTGCAAGTGTGGATGGGGTGTTAAACCAGAGCCAAGCTTCCCGTAGAAAGGTCCTGTTGCAGGACCGAGATGACAAAACCTCAGCCCTGGGATGTTTGTAAGGAAAGCACCATAACTGCTTTTATCCCCAGAAAAGAATTGAGAGGGAGGAAAACAGGAATATGCTGTTAAAAGCTACACTGACTCTAAGAAAGGGTTTATCCATTCTTGTAATTTCATTCATTTATGCTTTATTTTGTTCTCAGCTGCTTATGGTTTCACAAAACTGTGCTTAGTTAACTTATCTGACTTATACTTTGCATTAGAATGTATCAGCCTTCAGACTTTCTGTATCCCAGCCACAAGCAGGTTTCCTAGAAGTTTAACCATGAAACCACCACCCACTGTATCTGTGAAATTTGTCCATGGTGTACAGAAGTAGTTTATTTTTGACACTGGTAAATAGTGTACTGTTGTAAGAATTAACCATGTTCTATTTATCCATTTTAGTGTACTTGGATATTTGAGTTCATCCAGATAGGTTATTACGAATAAAGCTGTTATAGGCATTCATATGCATGTGTTTTGTGTGTTTCTCTTGGTGTGAGCATGTGCGCAGCTTGATACAATCCTACCAGTTTTCCCAAGTGACTGCAAGTGTAGATCTCCCCTCCCCTCGGTATGTGAAAGTTCTAATTACCCCTCATCTTCATCCTCATTTACACTGGGATTTTTTCAGTCTTTCAAATTTTAGCCATTCTGATGGTATGGGTCTCATTATAATTTAATTGGGGTATTCCTGCTGGCTCATTTACCATTTTCATGTCTTCTTTTATAAAATTTCTGTTCATCTGTCTGTCTACTTTTCTATGGGGTTGTCTGATTTTTTCTTAATGACTTGTAGGACATCAGTACGAGTTCTTTGTCACAGATGTATTGTAAATATCTTCTCTTATTTTGCAGCTTGCTTTTTAAAAACATTCATCTTTATGATGTCTTATAATGAGCAGAAGTTCCTAATTTTAGTACTGTCCAGTTCATCAAGCTTTAAGAAAAAACAAACTTTATCTGCCCCAACTTAGTTCCCCACCTCAAAAGTTTTATATTATCTTCTAGAAGCTTAATCATTTCGACTGTATAACTATGATCTCTCTGTAATTGATTTTCTGTTTGGTATAAGATATGGATCACCACTTTTTGTTTTCCCCCTTATATTAAAAAATATAATCACGGGGCCGGGGATTTAGCTGTGACACCACGCCTGCCTCAGAAGCACAAGGCCCTGTACCCCCCAAAATATATATCTATATAATCATGGTTCACTGTCATAAAGCAGGTAATTACATCTGTATGGACCTGTGGGTCAGCTTTCTGACTATATTCTGCACTACTTTTCTTTTGTCTATTCTTGGTCTGACATCATGTGGTTTTAGTTTCTGTTGCTTTTTAATGTCTTGATATCTGATAAAATAAATTCTCCACCTGTATTTTTAAAATTTACTTTTTTTGATGCATTCTTTTACCTGTTTTTCCCATTTTTTTAAAAAAGGTTTATATAATGCTCTTACTTTCTAGGTTTATTTAACCCAAGTACTTCATTTTCTCTGTACATGTTCTTCTTTAAAGCTTATAACGTGGTCAATTCCTGATAAATCAGGCTTTGCTGAAATAAACTGTATTTATTTTCCATAATTTACATATGGCTCCCTGTTAGAAATTCTATTTCTCTATAGTGTGCATTAAGCCTTTTAGGAAATAGAATATGATTCATAATGTTTTATTAGTTTTTTTAAAGATATCTCTACAATAGTGGGCTTTGGAAATTGGACTGGTGCCACCTATATGCTAGACAAGTTTTAGTTGATGTTTATTATACAGAGCTGGTGCTTCACAGAGCATATGTGTTGCCTGAAGGTATGGATGGGGATTGTATTATGGTGGGTGGACAAGGCTCCTGGTAATCAGGCATAGGGCTGGTCTGCTTAGGTATCAGTTAGACAATCTAATTTGTAGGATATGTTTTGCCACTGCTAAGTAGTATTCTCTTACAAAAATTAACCACATTTTATTTTTCCAGTTTTTGAGGACTGGTAGGTCTCAGAGATTCATTTAGACAGTCTGTGGATGCCAGTTGATGACCATTGTCACTGCAAGGGTCAGGTTTGTAGCAGCCACCACAAGATTAGCTTGAAGAGGGCTTTGCCAGTTTCCTCTTCCTCCTGACAGAGCACCCTTCTTACTGGCAGCTAACTGATTAGAAAGAAACCTGGGCTACACTGTCCTTC